CGCCTCTGCAATGAGCCGCCGCGTCACGGGCAGGCGCTGGCTCCGTTGCCGCCCCCCGGCCCGTTGGGACGCCCCGAGTGTGTTACACTGACGTGTCTTTTCTTTCCCGCTTTCGGCACTGAGATGTGGCTATTGGCGCAGGTATTTGTAAGCATTTGTGGGAAGCAAGAAGAGGCGAGATGACATCGACAAGTAATGAATTTGTTTCCTTCTGTCTCTCTGGTGCTGGGTCTCTCTCTCCTTCCTGTGTGGGGGAAACGATTCTCCAGAGTCCTAAAGCCGCCGTGTCCCCGGGCCTCCTTGAAAGGATCCAAAGGAGAACAAGTTATTGGGGCGGAAATCAAATCTGCAGAACAAACAACATACACTCCGTGTGTAGATGAGGAACCAAGGACAATTTTCAGACCGCTATGGCTAGGGAGCCACCTGTTCCCATTGTCAAGCACTCCTGATATTAAAACACTTGGGCTATGTCTACACTCACGGCTTCTTGCACAAGTACGGCCGTTCTCGCGCAAGAATCTGCAGAGCGTCCACACTGCCCGCCCGCTCTTGCGCAAGTATGGCTTGGTAAGAGGGGGCTCCTTGCGCAAGAGCTACGCTCTTTTTTGACAGGTGTAAGCCCTCTTGTGCAGGAGCTCTTGTGCAAGAGGGCTTTGTGGACGCTCAGCAGGGATTCCTTGTGCAAGAAAGCCCTATGGCTAAAATGGCCATCAGAGCTTTCTTGCACAAGAAAGCATCCACACTTCCATGGGCGCTCTTGCGCAAAAGCACAGCTTGCACATGGCAGTGTGGGCATTTTCTTGTGCAAGAGTTCTTGCACAAGAACACTTGCGCAAGATGCCGCGAGTGTAGACATAGCCATAGAGTTTCTGATGTGGAGTGCAGATTTCCTGTGCTGTATTAGATGCACAGTGCTGTTCCGGTTACCTGTTCCCTGGCCTTTTGCTTGGAATGCCCTTCTTGCAGAGACATTTTGAGTATAATGAAAATAAATATCTCTGTAGTGCACTTGGTAAATCTAATGGAACAGAATCAACTGTATATTTTTCTCCTTACAAGTCCTCCATTGCCTCTTAGGCTACGTCTACATTGGCAAGATTTTGCACACTTTTAACGCAAGAGTTTTTGCGTTAAAGTATTTGCGTAAGAGAGCATCTACACAGGCATGTGCTTTTGCGCAAAAGCATCCGTGCCAGTGTAGACGCTCTCTTGCGCAAGAAAGCTCCGATGGCCATTTTAGCCATCGGGCTTTCTTGCACAAGAAATTGATGTTGCTTGTCTACACTGGCTTCTTGCACAAGGACAGTTGCACAAGAGGGCTTATTCCTGAACAGGAGCATCATAGTTCTTGCGCAAGAAGCACTGATTTCACACATTAGAACGTCAGTGTTCTTGCGCAAGAACTCTCCGCCAGAGTAGACAGACAGCATGTTTTTGCGCAAAAGCGGGTGTTTTTGCGCAAAATCATGCCAATGTAGACACAGCCTTACTGTAGATGATATTATCTTACCATTATAATGGCATCTTTTAGCAAGTAAAAGTGGGGAGGATGCCTGTTTATGTAGCAGTTGGGGCTGAATATTGTTATAGGAGCTAAGCACTGTAAGTACTATCATTCTAGGGGAGCAACATCAGATATGCAACTGATGTAGAGACATCCACTCACTTCCCATTTGTTCTAGGAATGGTAAAATGTTTCATGTTAATGTTTAATGTACACTAAAGCTGCTCTCATGAAAACAGAATTTTGATCATCTAAGTTTTAGGAGCAGAATCTTATTTGACTAGCCAATTAGCCCATCATAAAACAGGATTTTAATGTCTTCTCTCCTGAGCTCTCTTGCTCTGTGTGTGTGTGCGTGTCTCTCTCTCTCTCCTCCTACTGCCCCCCCCCAGCTCTCCTCCACCTCCTGCCTTTCTTTCTCTCTTTCTCTTCTCCCCCTCCTGCCTCTCACTCTCCCTTTCTAGCCCCGCTCCTCCTCCCCCGCGGCAGCCTGGCTGAGTGCGCAACACTCAGCCGAGCCACCACGGAGGGAGGAGAAGGGGGCGGGGCGGTGACGTACATGGCCAGGGGGCGGGGCCGTGTACGTCACCGCCCTTCCTTCCCCTCCCACCCTGGGGGAGCCCAAGGGGCACAGCACTCATCTGAGTGCCATAGCGGGAGGGGAAGGGGGCGGTGACATACACGGCCCCGCCCCCTGGCTGTGTACGTCACCACCCTCTCCCCATCCTCCCTATGGCATCCCGGCTGAGGAGCGCACCACTCAGCACCACGGCGGAAGGAGGAAGGGGAGACGGTGACGTACACATCCTCCCCCACCCAGCCGTGTACATCACCGCCCTGTCCCCTTCCTGTCCCACCGGTGCTCAGCTGAGTGGCGCAGCGTCAGCACCACTCAGCTGGGTCGCGGCCGGGGAGCAAGCGGCTGTTTGGGGTCCAGCTGCGGCCAGTGGCTGCACCCCCCGCCCTCCCCTCGCCAGGTCTGCTTCCCTCCCCCCTCCTCCCATCCAACCCCATGGCCC